CCTAGGTATAAAACAAATTGATTCCTTGGCTGCTCACAAGACCATAGTTGGTATAGGTTTCAATCAGTAGCAGATCTAGCTCTCATGTTATAGGCAAGTTTGTACAATATCACACAGTGGACAGATACTTCAAATATGAGTTGGTAAGCTATGGAACCACAAAATCAAGCAACACATTTTGAGTATGATAATACTCCACAGACCTATGTTTCTAACAACATTCACACATAACATGAAATCAATAAAAAAACAACTTGCTCACAAGCTTTGAGGCAGCATCACAGTTGAATTAACACATTAATATGACAAAAACAAATTGAACTACCTAGGCTAATACTGATGAGAAATCTCCATTATTCCTAACAGCAAACAATCATGAAAAGTAATAAAGTGTTCATAACTCAAATTCCATCAAAAATACTTAAGAATGCTAATTCATGAAATATGATGCTAAAGTCAACAAGGAGCAATTACATACCTTTTATAGATCCTTAGGAGCAGGTTATATCAGTTGAGAAAACCAGAGATTGCTTGCTCCAATTTTAACTCCTTTGAGATTTCTTCCACTTTAAGCCACAACACACTTTCAATGCCAAATGGGGATATGTGAGTTTCCCATGATTGGTAAGTGTTTGAACAGTTGGAGAATGTTGTTTATGAGGTGTTAGAGGGATCAAAACTTCAAGAACATGTTTAGAACAAGATTTGGTGATTTTAGTAGCTTTGGTCAAAGTATGGTGGGATGAGAGTTGACTTTTTGATTTTTTGAGGTTCTTGATGTTTTAGTGAGTCATACACCTTCCATATGTCATTTGGAAGATGTGTGGATGGTTGTGAGAGTGTTGGTAATGCTAGAAATGAAAATGGCATGAAAGTTGTAAAATGCCCATTTTTGGTGTTTTTGAGCTTTTCTTCACTTACAAGCAAAAAGAGAATGAGAAGGAGAGCTGTAATATTTTGATATTGTGAGCAGCTCTGGTGTGTCAAACAAGTGAGGGGGAGGCCTCTATTTATAGGAGAAAGAAAGATGAGGGCAGCTTGGTAACTTCCATTTTTGGAGGGAGTTTCATGAAGTTTCTTCCAAATCTTGCCAATATCTTTGTGGCAGCCATCCTCACATCAATTGCAAGACTCAATGCAAGCAAAACCAGATGATATGAAGGAGTGAGGTGACTTGAAATGATGCTAGAGAAGTAGGGGACTGCAGCTGCCCTTAAAGTTTCTCTTTCATGGCTTAAAAATGATTATTTTATTTGCAACTTGCCATCAACTTGCTAGACCCCTCAAACCATCACATTTTCTGGTTTTCTCTTCATTCCTACCTCATAATATCAGTTTGTAACATGATCCAAGGGTGGAGAATGACTCAAGTTGTGAAAAACCCAATTTTGATATGTTGAAGCAAGTGAACTTTTAGTGTGACAGACCCAACTTCAAGACACCATAACTTCCAGCTCACAACTCCTCTAGGGGAGTTCTTGTTCTTTTTGGAAAGCCCTCATATAGCCCTACAACATTCATGTTTTCCAAAAGTTCCAAATCTATGTGCATCTTGGTTGAAAAGCCCCTTAAAGTTAGCAAAAAACAAGTTTTGATGCAGCCAGATTTTGAAAAATTCACTAAGTGTTTTGTACTAAAAAATGACTTTGATGATAACTCCAATTCCATGCATTTTCTGAGAGTGGACTAGTATAGGACTTTTGTAGGACTTGTTAATAGCTTTCCGACGAGCTTTGAACCACCTCGTTCGGGTGTGTGGTTAGGGAGTTAGGGTTTAGCCCCTTTCGAAACCCTAATTTCCCGATTTTTCGATTACTCTCACGTCTTTGATCCGATGATCATGAAAATTGATATGTAGGTCCCTCATGACATAAGGAACAACTTTGCTTCACCACTTGAAGTCCAATTCCTAAAACTTGAGGGGGTTGACTTTTCGGTCAACTGTACGATCGATCGACGATTACCGAACTGTCTGTTCATGTTTCGGAGCTTCCAAGACTTTGAAACTCTTTGAGGGGACCTCACTAAGCCATATGAACTTTTTAAAACATACTTTTATCCTTGAATTATTTCCCAAATCTAAAGTCAAACTACAGTTGACTTTTTCAACCCGAAAAACCCTAATTGGGTGCCTTGAACTGCACTGCACCCCATCTGTGGGTGATTACTTCAAATTGAACTAACACATGGCCCAATATGGTACTCTTGATCTTATTTCATAAATGATTCAACCCAAAACATTGGTTGCCCAATCCTCGAACCTTCGATTTTATCAGTGCGGAGCCCCGTTTCATCTGTGTCTTGACAAAACACACTTCGAAACTTGTTAAAGTTAGATAAATAAATGCATATGATATGAAGAGGATATAAGGGGTCAAATTTTGGGGTGCAACACCGCCCGAGGGGTCAGGGAATAAATTAAAATACCTTAGAGAAAAATACAACCGTATTGTCTTAACTGATGATAGCATCGAGTTTGAGAAAATACAAAAAACTCGGTGCTATATTATGATTTTATTCGGGCACTTTTTATTTCCAGATGGCACTGGAAATACCGTCCATACTATGTATTTACCATTATTGCGGAATATTAACAAAGTGTGCGAATATAGCTGGGGATCAGCTGTCCTCGCCCATCTATATAGCGCACTTTGTAAAACTTCAAAAAAAAAATTCCTGCACTTTTTATGGTTGTGCTTATCTTCTGCAAGCGTGGGGTTGGTCTAGGATGCCAATGCTTGCTCCAATAAACATGAATTCTTTTACGTTCCCGTACGCCAACAAGTAAGTATCTTTTCAAGATTATTTAGCAACTACATATTCTTTTTCAGTTAATAATTTCTGAGATGTGTTTATTTTTTTAGGTGGTATGTTCTAGGGATGAATTATCAGAGATGTCCAAGGCACTCTATAATTCAATACCGCAACCTAATCGACCACCTTGGGCCAGATGATGTAAGTTATTACCATTAATTTTTTTAATGTATATGCATATACCTCTCAAACTCTGTCTAACTTAATTGTCCAACTTTATTGTAGTTTGTCTGGATGCCGTACGAGGGTCTCGACCACGAGCCCAACCCCGAGGATGCCGCTGTGTGGACAACAAAGACACCTATAATTAGGTTCACTACGGTGGAGATGCACCAAAGTGACCGGGTGAAACTACAATTTGGGATGCATCAGGATATTCCAGATGCTCCAGTAGACTTGGGGCAGTGGCATCAAAAGCGGGTAGACGCACAGTGGAGTGTCAGTGATTGGAAGGAGTTTGCGAAGGAGTTGCGTATACACTAGAAAAGAAGAAGGCAATACGTCTTAACCGGCGGTATTGTGCACGGGGCTAGGCCAAGTCTTCAATATATGACTTGGTTTAGGTCTGTCACGACATCTCAGCCTTTCCTGTCGCAACCAACCTATTTGGCCGACCCAAGGGAACGCGATTCTTCGTCAAACCCACAACAACAGTTTAGTACCCAAAATCAGCCTTACGAAAACTCATACATGCCAACAAATACCCCCTATCAACAACGACAACCTTACATGCTAACCACCCAATCCCAGCCTCAACCACCTTACCATTACAGCCCTGATATGTCTTTTGAGCCTACCCCCTCCAACTACCCCTCCAACTATAGCCCAAACACCTCATTTGACACTACCCCCTCCAACTACCCCTCCAACTACCCCTCCAATTACCCCTCCAACGACCCCTCAAACTATCCATTATTCGACTACCACACCCCGCAACAACCAAGACACCTAGACCAACCCAACTCCATGTACACATTCGGACAACCATATCGTTCATACTCCACCCAACCTCCCCGACAATCCTTCGAAAACATGGGCATCAGGCTTGACTACGGAAGCGCTGTTGACATTGGACCTCCCGGCTATTGGGGTCAAATGATGCAAACTCTATCTGATACGTCGGGGCCGTCCCAACCATACCCTCCTCCACACCTCAACACACAGAGACCGGACACACCACTGCAACCTCCTCGTAGACCTCGTCGCAACGCGCGTCCCCCACAATGTGGCACCGGTGGGCACTTGGATAAAGTCGGTCATTAGTTTTTGTCTTTTGTTCAATTGTAATTGTACTTTTCACTAGATTCTAAATTAATATAATTTATTATTTCTATATTTTATTTTAACATTTCTATATTTAATTTTTTCTTAATGTTATGTAAATTTCAATTAATTATGAAAAACAAACAACATAATTTAATAACATATATTTATTAAAACCTAATTAAAATATTTATTAAAATGTGTATAAATTTAATAACAATTACCATTCACATATTTACACAAACAATTTATTAAAATATTTATACCAACTATAAAAAAAATTAAAATTCAATCATAATCAAATTTTAAATTGATTTAATGAGAATTCATCTTACATTAATAATTATTAATTGAAATAAAATATTTATTAATTGAAATTAATTAAAAATAATATATTAAAAAAATAGAATAAAACATTAATTAAAATTAAAAAAATAATCAATTACTTAAATTTATTAAAATCTGATAATAATATAAATGAAAACGACACATTCGCCAATTGGGATGGCGAATTCTTTACACCTTACACTCATTCGCCAATTGATGTGGCGAATTGCATTTTTGGATCTTTCAGTTTACACGCTTTCGCCAATTAAAATGACGAATAGATGTTGATTAGTTGACCATTTTGAAAATTTATTTCAAATCTACAACATATTGATAAATACAGTTATTCTAAAAAAAAAAATCAAAATAGTGTTATCATGAATCACTCAAACCACTTTTATTTTCTTTTTCTGTCCCCACCACCACTCACAGTCTCTCTCTCTCACTATCTCTTTTCCTATAAAATCACACTAACCTTATATAATTCAATAACAAACAATACCATTGAAATAATGCTCTTGTAACCCACCACAAATAGTTGTTAAGAAAATCATATTCTATCTTTTTTTATGATCACAAAAGAAAAAGTACCAGAAATGGGTGGTGATGATCAGAAAAAGGTTTCCATAGTTAAAAAGAAGAAAATGAAAAATGTTTCTTTTAGGTCAATTTTCATGCATGCTGATATTCTAGATTGGTTCTTCATGGTTTTTGGTTTTTTTGGTTCAATTTGTGATGGCATAATGATACCTTTGGTGTTGTATATCACAAGCAAAATTATGAACACTGTTGGTGGTTTTTCTGGCTCAACAAGCAACAACTTTGTTCATAGCATCAATGAGGTTATCTCTCTTTCTCTCTCTACCTAAACATATATAATCTAAGGGTATAAACTCATATTTAAAACTAGTACCATATATATATATATATATATATATATATATATATATATATATATATATATATATATATATATATATATATATATATATATATATATATATATATATATATATATATGAAGTTTTTATATATTTAATTAACTTTATCAAAGAGAAGTGAAGAATATGTTGCTTAACAAGCATATACAAAATCTTACAATTGGTATGAGAATCTGAATATATCTATTTTATTATATAATCAAAGTTTTGTAATTGGGAGTGTGTTATTGCATTAAACAAAATGAAGAATTTAACACAATATTATAGATACAGATTTTCATATATTTATGTAATAAATGATATATCAAAAATGTTGTATATAAAAATACTTGAGATGACAGATATTTTCCAACTTGAATGTTGTATACAACTTTTCATAAAAAATGAGTTAAATTAAAAGCTAAAAAAGCAAATTATGTTTTATCCCTGTATAATTTTAAATATAAAAAACTGAAATTAAAATTTAATATAACATAATATCATTTAAAAATAAATATAAAAGGAATTTAATATTAAGATTATTTTTTTATAATTAAAAAATTAACTTTTCAAAATATCAATGTTAATTTAAAATTTGAAAAATTAAATATAATTTTGTAATTGTAATTTTTTCATTTACATAATATATAATTAAATTATTTATTTATTCATGGTTAATAAGAGAATAATAAAATTAATTATTTTGTAGTGTTAATATTTTAAAAAAACATTATTCAATAATTTTAAAAATATGGTTTTTTTCATAAAATTTTAAAATATTAAAAATTAATAAATTTTCCAAACACGTGAAAAAGATAGAAAATGATGCATCAAAATGATGTCATATTATACATATCTCATAATAACAAAACTCTTACTAACCAAAAACATCAAACTTAATCAAAATATATCTCATAATAACAAAACTCTCACTAACCAAAAACTTCAAACTTAATCAAAAGATCATGGAATATCTACAAAGCATAATTAACCTAACATATCTAACGTATTTTATTATGAGGTTTAAAACAAATATTAATGTTAGATTTTTATATAAGGAAGAAAGGTAATAATATATTGCATATCTACAAAGCATAAGTAACCTACCATATTATATTATGGGGTTTAAATCAAACATTAATTTCAGATTTTTATATAGGAAAGAATAGAATATCTACAAACCACAAGTAATCTAATATATTATATTAAAGTGAACACTCTGATATCTTAAAATTTAGTTGAGTATCAGTATTCAGGAAAGAATCATCATGTCATTTTATATATATTTTTTATTTAAAAATTAATTAATTTTTTTATTTAATTTTCATTAAAAATATCAGTACTCAACTACTTATTATGGATATCTAAAAATTTGTCTTAAATTAAAAGGTTTAAAACAAATATTAATATTAAAATTTTATATAAGAAAGAAAGATAACATATCAATTATCAAATATCTACAAAGCATAAGTAATCCAACCTATAATAAGGTTTAAGACAAACATTAATATTAGATTTTTATATATGGAAGGAAGGTAATATAAGAATATCTACAATGCAGATATTCCCTTCCTTTTTTTGTAGATGTGAAAAACAATAAAAGACATTTTCAAAATAATATTTACACATTTAAGAGCTAATATCGCATCTTAAAATCAAGTTTGAAAGTTTTTATCACATCAACATAATTCAATTCAACTATAAATTGTATCAACTTTTTTCAATAACGAACTCAATTAATGACATAACACCTCAAAATGAACAAATACTCTAAAAACACGGCCCTCGAAATCTCTAACAATATCACTATAAACGAAGGGCCTAAGGCTAACTAAAAACGCCTCATCACATATAATTTTAATCCATTTACACAATGGTGGTGTCCAAATCACCTCCAAAATTTTATGGATGTTAGTAAGCTAAATTTTGACCTTGAAAGCTTTCAGCATCTCAAAATCTAAGATTATTATATATTAAGTTATGAGATTTAAAGGAAACGTTAATATTAAATTTTTATATAGAAATAAATTAATATATAAGTTTGTTATAAGTAGAAAAATAAAATGTAATAACTGAAAAATAATATCATAGGCTCTGTAATGTAATTTAAATAAAAAACAGAAAAATAAGAAAATTTCAATTCGTTGCCTTGTAGGATTGAACTTGCATTCACAATAAAGGGAGATCACTAATATTAAAGTTGATAATAAAGGTCTATTTTCACTAATTTTGAAGATTTTGGGTTGTTGTGTGAAGGGGGAGGGTGAGTGTGATTTGCTGGGGCTGAAAACGACTTGGCATTCAATAGTCTTATATATTCAAACACTCGAAATAGTGGTGTAAGTGTGATTCGTTGGAGCTGACAATGATTTAACATTTGGTAGAATTATATATTTGAACACCCTTAATATGGTGATTTTTAAAGGGTTAACCAAGGATATTTGACATCCTTAACATCTTTAGTTGTTGTTCAATTTGTTTCTAGTTTATGGTACCTTCGAACTCGAGTATTTCCGGTGCTCTTGTACCTTGAACTTTAATACAGTATTGTTGTTTGCTATTAAGAAAATCATCTGAGCCACGCAAATCATGTATAACTAAAAACTTTCGGTTATTTTCGGTGCTCTTGTACCATGAACTTAATATATTATTCAGGTTATAACTTAGTAATAGTAAAACAATGCTTCTTTTAGACCTTCAAACATTTAAAATAAAATAAAAGTCTTTCAAGACATAAAAGTAAAAGGTTCAACTTTCAACTGCCTTACGTATTATAAAGAGAATAATTATTGTTGAAGGATTTTGGGATGCGTCACGTCATCATCGATGACTCAAACGTATATAATTTATTAAAAAATTTTAATAACGAAATTTAATTTAAATTAGTCATATTTCTTTTATATTTAAAATTTCTTTCATTTTTAATTGACGTTAGACCGATTACTCATACTTAAATTTAAACAATCTTTTCATCAAATGTTCGTTACTCATATCCTTAAAATGGTTTGGACCTCACTTCTACTGTCTAATCAAGTCAAATCATGCATGTGATATCAATTGTCAAAGAGTCCAAAGAGCACCCTGACCTTCAATGGATTAAACTTTTAGGACCCATACAAAAATTTGACATCACATCTTAACTAAAAGTCTTAATCTATTATGTATATAAGTCACAACTACTATATATGCAACATTTCCTTCCTTTTTAATTTATGTGAGACTAAACAGTTACACTTAACTCTAACATAGGATTTGTTACCTTGATATTATTTGTTATATTAAATATCTACGTCGTATATATTTTTAATGTATTTATACGGTAAACACTATTTTTATTAAAATAATATATTTTAAAAAATATATTAATTTAAAAAAATATTTATTTGTAAAATTTATTTTATAACACAAATATAAAGTTGTGTCATTAATCAACTTCACAATTGTATTACCACAAAAATGTACCTCATTAATCAATTATTTTACGTATAATTTATTAACCACTTTCACTACTTCATTAATCAATAAAATACATATTATTAACCATGTTTTGACACTAAATTATCAATGTATTAACCAACTTTTATACTCCATTAACTAATTTTATTTTACTATAATATTTTTTTATATTTGAGAATTCATTAACCAAATTATGAACTGTATTAACCAGATTTATACATAATATTAACCAAAGTCTGAACGATATATATACAAAATATATATTAACCAAACTTTGAACTATAGTAACTAAATTTTAATATTTAATTAAACAAATTAATTATAGAGAAAAATACATTACAAAGTCAAAATAATATAAAAACATTGTTCACGTATTTGTGAACAGTGTATCCTCCAATAATTTCTCTCACCCTCAACTGTGAGTCAACTATATTATTAGACTTTATTTATACTAGGATCTCACATCTACGCCCTGCCAAATCGAACCATAATTATAATACCATTTGTTGAGGGGTTTTTAAGAGCGTTAGAAGTTGCAATAAGTTAAACGTTCAAGACCCATAAGAAACTTTTAAAAAATATTTCAATTCAAATTCTTAAAATAGTAGGTATATGGAATATAAGTTAAACGTTCAAGACCCATAAGAAACCTTTAAAAAATATTTCAATTCAAATTCTTAAGATAGTAGGTATATGGATTTATATTCCGTCTTTCTTTTATGTGTAGTCAATGTGTAATTAATTGCTCCCACTTAAATTCCAACAGTGGCTTATAGTAATGACATGTTAATAAAATTAATTACATTTAGTCAAAACCAATACTCTACAGCATTCTACATTCAATTAATTCAAATTTTAATTAATGTGTGAGTATAAAAATCTTTAGAGTTAGGAAATCCAAAGATCTTAAATGTAAATTGTTGAGAAATCTCGTATTACATGAGATATGTCTTTAGTCAAAACCAATACTCTACAGCATTCTACATTCAATTAATTCAAATTTTAATTAATGTGAGTATAAAAATCTTTAGAGTTAGGAAATCCAAAGATCTTAAATATAAATTGTTGAGAAATCTCGTATTATATGAGATATATCTTGAATATATGTTTATAAGTGGTGAGTAATTCTTAACAAATAAACTAATTTTGTGAAGTTTAACTAACCCAAATTCTAATTATAAAATTGTATTAGAGACGATGCAAAATCTGTTTAATTTATGATTTTAGTGTTCAGTATTAAATGTGAGTGGATGCGTGGAAAAGTTTCAGATTAAATAAGATATGACATGAATACTTGTTTACAAGTGGTGGATAGATTACAAATCAATTTTGTAAAATTGAATTAAACTCTAATCAATACTCATTTGACTACTGCTCTAGATGTCAAATTTTAAGCATGAGAGGATGAGTTGAGAAGTCCCTCATTATATAAGAAATAGTTATAATATCTCAACAATAATGTCTTCCTAGAATAGGAGTATTGATACTAAGTTGTTGGTAAAAGAGAAGTGAGAAAATGTATATGATACATTTGTATGATTGGGTCAATGATGATAAAATCCATAAGAGTTTACTCAAGACTTTCCTTTCACATATAACTTATTTGGTTTGACTTTATTAACTTTGTGCTGCAGAATGCAGTTGCTGTGTTATACGTGGCTTGTGCCTCTTTTGTTGCTTGCTTCCTAGGTAAATTTTCAATTTTTTACTATTTTCAGTTTTAACATCTCTCTTAATTTGTATAGTATATTATACACAAGTATTAACACCATACCCTCTTTAGAGGGTTATTGTTGGACAAGAACAGGTGAAAGACAAGCTGCAAGAATGAGAGCTAGGTACATAAAAGCAGTTCTAAGACAAGAAGTAGCATACTTTGATTTGCATGTTACAAGTACATCAGAAGTCATCACTAGTGTCTCTACAGACAGTCTAGTGATTCAAGATGTTCTAAGTGACAAGGTATCAAAAACAAAATAAACAGGTTTAAAATTATGTTTTTTTTTTCTAAAATTATAATTGTGACATTAACAATTAGTTCATTTCTTCTAACTTGAAACCTATTATAGGTTCCTGATTTTTTGAAGAATGTGTCTCAGTTCATTGGGAGCTATATAGTGGCATTTATATCATCATGGAGATTGACCCTTGTTGGGTTCCCTTTTATAATTCTACTTGTGGTTCCTGGTTTCATGTATAAGAGGACTTTGATGGGGTTGGCTAGAAAAATCAGACAAGAATATAATCAAGCTGGTACAATAGTAGAACAAACAATATCTTCCATCAGAACTGTTTATTCTTTTGTAGGAGAAACCAAAACCATAGCTGCTTTCTCTGATGCTTTAGAAGGATCTGTGAAATTGGGATTGAAACAAGGTTTAGCTAAAGGCTTAGCCATTGGAATCAGTGGTGTTAATTATGCTGTATGGTCATTAATTGCCTATTATGGCAGCATATTGGTCATGTATCATGGTGCTAAAGGTGGTGATGTATTTGCAGTTGGAACATTAATGGGAATCGGTGGAACGTAATTACCCTAATACCCTTTACCTCCTTTGATTTAGTTTTACTATTAAAATTTTGTGCTATTTTTGTTTATTAATTTATTTTTCTTGTGTGACAGGGCTTTAGGATCTAGTTTAGCAAATGTGAGATATTTCACAGAAGCAAGTGCTGCAGGAGAAAGAATAATGGAGGTGATAAAAAGAGTTCCAAAGATTGATTCAGAAAACATGGAAGGTGAAATTCTAGAGAAAGTGTCGGGGGAAGTTGAACTCAACCATGTTAAATTTGTGTATCCGTCAAGGCCAGACAGTGTGATCTTAAATGATTTTTGTCTAAAGGTTCCATCAGGTAAAACAGTGGCATTAGTAGGAGGAAGTGGTTCAGGAAAATCGACTGTAATATCGCTTTTGCAAAGGTTTTATGATCCAACTGGTGGAGAGATTCTTTTTGATGGAGTTGCTATTCATAAGTTGCAACTCAAATGGCTTAGATCTCAAATGGGATTGGTGAGTCAAGAACCTGCTTTGTTTGCAACAAGTATTAAAGAGAATATACTTTTTGGAAGAGAGAATGCTACATATGAAGATGTTGTTGATGCTGCTAAAGCTTCTAATGCTCATAATTTCATTTCAATGTTTCCACAAGGATATGATACTCAGGTTAGTGCTAATTGCTTTTGTCATTATGCTATGAACCAAATAAAATAAAGTGGAACTTATCTATTCTAATAAAATAATGAAAGATTAAAGATATGATTCTAAATTATAGCACTAGTTATGAAGTTTTTTTTTTTACTTGTCATGTTCATTATGTGGAATTACATTTGATTATCTGACCCTACTGATTTGGATCAGAAACCAATTAGTTTCAAAATAATTAATTTATATTTGATCAATCAAACTGTAAATAAAAAGGTTGTAATAGGATTTTTTTTGTTCAGTCCAAATTAGCAAATATAACTTCATCAAGTATAATTTCTCACTATAAAAAAAAATTATTAATAATAAATAAAAAAAAACAAAAAAAAACTACATGTCATGAAATGTAAGTCCAAAATTAGGTTGTGAAGAAAAACTCTAAAATTTGTGAAACTTGAAGAACTAAAATTTAAGACTTACTATCAGGGACTAAAATCTAATTTCAAGTAAATAGGGGGAATAAATGCATTTGAGCCAAAAATATTATGTCTATAGATAACATGATTATTCAATTATTATTAATGTTCAACTTTTGGTACTTTAAGCAACTTAATCAACACAAACAAGATGGCTATAGAAAACATGATTATTCAAATATTATTAATGTTCAACTTTTGTAAGTGCTATCATATCATATTCTTCCACTTTAAGCAACTTAATCAGCACAAACAAGTAGAAACGTGTTATTCAATCATGTTTCTAATCCAATAATGATATATACTACTATATAATAACCCAAAATGGTTTTTGGACATTCTCACTTAAAATTTATTTTTAATTACTTAAGCAATAGTTTATATTCCTTATACTATATTAGATATTGCTAACAGAATCAATGACAAAGATATCATGGAGAGCAAGAATAATTCTGGTTTAATGTTATTCTCATCATGTGAAATCTGTTACAATAATTTCATAAAATAAAACACCCACTAATATGGTGGTCCACGTACATGAAGCACCTTTTCTTTTCCTTTCAAATTGCATAAATCAAACTAGAGAATAATGTTAGGTTAAACTTCAGATGTTAATTGTATGCTTTTCTACTACAGGTTGGGGAGAGGGGAATACAAATGTCAGGAGGACAAAAGCAAAGGATTGCCATTGCAAGAGCTATAATAAAAAAGCCAAGAATTCTATTGCTAGACGAAGCAACAAGTGCACTCGATTCTGAATCCGAACGAGTCGTCCAACAAGCTCTAGACAAAGCTGTGGTTGGACGCACCACCATCATCATCGCTCACCGCTTATCCACCATCCAAAATGCAGACATCATTGCATTTGTCCAAAATGGTAAGATCGTGGAATCGGGATCTCACGAGAGCCTCATTCAAAATGACAGTTCTCTTTATACTTCCCTCGTACGTCTCCAACAAACCAAAAATGACCAAAACGACGATACTCCATCTACCATTAATATAGATCACATGCATAACCCGAGTAGTTATAGACTCGCGACTCGTTCTAGCTCTTTCGACTCAATGACACGTGGTCGTGGTGGTGATATTGTTAATGATAAAAATGTTGTTGGAGATATCGTTAATAATGTCGTGGTATTTGACAATAATAACAATAATAATAAAAATAATAATAATGAGGACGAGGAGAAGAGGAAGAAGAAGGAGAAGGTAAAGGTTCCTTCGTTTCGAAGGTTGTTGGCAATGAATCTTCCAGAGTGGAAGCAAGTGTGTTTGGGGTGTTTGAACGCAATTTTATTCAGCGCGGTTCAACCCGTGTATGCATTTGCATCAGGATCAGTTGCATCAGTTTATTTTCTGGAGGACCATGATGAGATCAAGAAACAAATTAGGATCTATGCATTTTGTTTTCTAGGGTTGGCTTTGTCCACAATGGTTTTCAATGTGCTTCAACATTATAGCTTTGCTTACATGGGAGAGTACTTGACTAAGAGGGTTAGAGAAAGAGTGTTTTCCAAGATACTCACTTTTGAAGTTGGTTGGTTTGATGAGGATCAAAATTCTACAGGTGCTGTTTGCTCTAGACTTGCCAAAGAAGCCAATGTGGTAAGTTCTCAATTATTTTTTTAAAAATTGCATGTTATGTTAGAGATATATAATATAAAAACTATATATGACAGACATAAAATGTTTTAATTTTCTTTTCAAATTAATAATACAGGTAAGATCATTGGTGGGGGATAGATTGTCAGTAATAATACAAACTATATCGGCAGTGGCAGTAACATTCACAATGGGCCTAATCATTACTTGGAGACTATCCATTGTTATGATAGCAGTTCAGCCAATTACCATAATTTGTTTCTACATAAGGCGTGTCCTTCTTAATAACATGTCAAGCAAAGCCATTAAGGCCCAAGATGAAAGTAGCAAAATTGCTGTTGAAGCTGTTTCAAATCTAAGAACCATCACATCTTTTTCATCACAAAATAGAATCCTTAAAATGCTTGAAAAATCCCAACAAGGCCCAAGTCATGAAAATATTAGACAATCGTGGTTTGCAGGTATTGGGCTTGCATGTTCACAAAGCCTAATTTTTTGCACTAGAGCCTTAAACTTTTGGTATGGAGGAAAACTTGTGTCGCAAGGATATATAACAAAGAATGCATTTTTTGAGACTACTATGATTTGGATAAGCACTGGAAGAGTTATTGCTGATGCTGCTAGTAGCATGACTAATGATTTTGCTAAAGGTTCCAGTGCCGTTGGATCGGTTTTCGCTGTCCTCGATAGGTATACAAAAATTGAGCCAAATGATTTAGAAGGTTACAAGGTTGAAAAATTAATAGGGAAAATTGAACTTCATGATGTGCATTTTGCATATCCAACTAGACCTAATGTGATTATCTTTCAAGGGTTCTCTATTAAAATTGACGCTGGAAAATCAACAGCTTTGGTCGGGGAAAGTGGTTCAGGAAAATCAACAATCATAGGACTAATTGAGAGATTCTATGATCCTTTTAAAGGGACGGTGACAATAGATGGTAGAGACATAAAGTCTTATAATCTAAGATCATTAAGGAAACACATTGCACTTGTGAGTCAAGAACCAACATTGTTTGGTGTTACCATAAGGGACAATATAGCATATGGAGCATATGATGATAAAGTTGATGAGAGTGAGATCATTGAGGCTGCAAAGGCTGCAAATGCTCATGATTTCATATCAAGCTTAAAAGATGGTTATGAGACATGGTGTGGTGATAAAGGAGTTCAACTAAGTGGTGGTCAAAAACAAAGAATTGCAATAGCTAGAGCTATAATGAAGAATCCAGAGGTGTTGCTTTTGGATGAAGCAACAAGTGCACTTGATAGCCAGTCAGAGAAATTAGTGCAAGATGCTTTAGAAAGGGTTATGGTTCGAAGGACAAGTGTGGTTGTGGCTCATAGGTTGAGTACTGTACAAAACTGTGATTTGATTGCTGTTTTGGATAAGGGAAGTGTTGTTGAGAAAGGAACACATTCATCTTTGTTGGCTAAGGGACCAAGTGGAGCTTATTATTCTTTGGTGAGTTTACAAAGTAGACCAACCGACACAGTTGTTGATTTTCCATGAAAACAATCATTAAAGTTGGCGGTTTCTCAAACAGAAGCCCATTTCCTATGTTGCTTATTATATGCTTATATAGTAAGATAGTTATACCTTGAAAATAAAGTGAGTTAAGGAGATGACACTTACATAAAGATAAATCTTGTTCTACTTCTTGTTTGGAAGTTATATTGATATATGGTTAATGTCAATTTTGGTTAAATGCATCTATAAGTAATTGAGAAAAAGAAATATACACGGACAGTTTTATTCTGATTGGATGTTTGTGTAATACTTCCTTACACCGACAGTGCAGTAACTCTAAGTAATTACCTATGGATGCAAAACAATTGAAGTAGAATGTTTCCTAACAACTTGGTGTAAAATTTTATTTCTCATATGATTACTAATGTTTACATCAATTCTGCTTCAAAATTATCATTAGTGATTTGTTTTGTCACTAGCACATTAGTTATCAATTTTGGTCTATGAAGCACTGAAATCAGAAACACGAAACCGACTGACACTCAGTACCGATAATAATTTGAAAAAATAAATAAATTAAATATAATCAAAGTCTGAATGTCGGTTTCAGACACCTAACGCGGCCACATCTTTTTCCAGAAGTACCAGAGCTACAGAGATTTTGGTTGTATGAAATAGATCACTAATTAACCTAAACATATAAGAGTTTATACTTCGAAAATAAGCCTAAACATATAAGAGTTTATACTTCGAAAAAAATCCTAAACAATCCAAGCCAAAATATAGTTGTAGATGTTCAAAACAAACTAATTATATCAAACTCAGAGCTCAAAATATCAAGATCACAAACTCAATAATTCAATTTTTTCTCATATTTTTCAAATTTCGATTGTACGAGATACCTATGATAACAACCAGAAACATTCATACAAATTCAACGAAGAACAAACACAGTGTTTACCTTCAAACAGTTTTGTGGCGCCTTTGAGTCAGTTACGAGCAGGAAAAGGTTTGGCGCAACGGATTGCAGTGGTCTCGCAGATCCGCCGGCGCAGGTCGCAGTGGTAATCGTAGGTGCCGTCGCGGGGGTGACACAACAGTCGACGCAGATTGCGATGGTGATAGTCAGCAATCGCGGTGGAGGCAGTGCGCGGGAAATAGAGATTTGTGTTCTTATTTTCTTTTTCTTATTGTTTAAAAGAGTTCAGGAATTTTAACATGGAGGAAAAAAAATCTGTATCGACGTATATATATTCATAAACAAAATAAACGTATATCTTTTTTAATGAACATAGATTTGGGTTTAATGATATTTATACCGGGGATATTAATGTTCATAAATAAATAATAAAATTTATTTTAATATTATTAGTTTATTATATTTTACTTTTTTATTTTTTAAAAAAAATAATTTTTTTAAATTTTTATTTTTTAAAATTTTTTTAAAGAAAACCTTACACATTTCATTCAAATTTTATTAATCATTTTATATTTAAATTCTTCAATACTTCATATCTCATTTCAACAATTTTACAATTCAACTAACTAATGTCATCATTTCTCTGTCAAATTAGTGTCTCCTTTCCTACTCCTCTGTCGTCCATTCTTCCATCATAACTTACAATCATAATATCTTTTATTTGTTTGGTTAAAAATGAAATGTATGAATATTATGTTTGGATCTAATTATGTTTTGGTGAATAAGAAGAAAATTAATATGATAAAATTTTATTTTTAAATTAAAAGCGAATCGCTCTTAATTTTATTTCTAATTGATATAATATTTATGTTCAACTTGTTTTGAGAAAGTTTGGAAAAAGTTTCAAAGGCAGAAGAAGTATCGCTCTTGTTAGCCAAGAAGATAGTCCAGCAAAATCTAGAGAAATCATCAACTATAACAAAACCATAATAGTTACCACCTAGACTATTAATTTTAGATGGTCCAAAGAGGTCCATATGAAGAAGTTTAAGGGGCCTCGTAGTTGAAAAAATGTTTTTAGATTTAAACGAGATCCTTGTTTGCTTCCCCATTTGGCACGCATCACATGAGTGATCCTTTAAAAACTTGAGTTTGGGTAAGCCAATCACTAGGTCCTTAGAGATTATCTTGTTTAGCAAGTCAAAATTGACATACGTCGAACGCCTATACCACAACCATGAGTCTTCACTCGTAGTGACGAGACATTTGTCGCTACTCAATGATACTTCACTCAAATCCAGCATATACACATTATTTACCCTCAAGCCATTAAACACATTCCCCTTTTTATCATTATTTTCAATTATGCAACAATCCTTTGAAAAAGACACTTTGCATCCGTTGTCACATAATTGCCTAATGCTTATAATGTTGTGTTTAAGGCCCTCAACTAGCAATACATCAGAGATAGTAGTAGACGAGGGATTACCTACACTACCTTTTCCAAGTATTGCTACTTTGTTATTGTCTCCATAGGTTACAAATCCCTTCTTCTTTGCCACAAAGTCAATGAAGAGAGATATGTATCATGTCATATGTCTTGAGCATCCACTATCGAGAACCCATCTTCTCTCCGTAGGCTCAAGACTTTGTACCTATAAAAACAATCAAAGGAAATAGGTACCCAATTGTTTATTGGGTCCTTGGTTGTAACTGAAATCTTGGTTTTAGGCAACCATTGATAAACCCCTTTAGGAACTAAAAACCTCCTAAAGCGACATTTAGCAATGATATGACCCCTTTTGCAACAATACAAGCAAGTGAGGCTAACCTTGATATCACTTTTGTCACCTTGATTTTTTATCACATATGTATATTTTTGATAAGGATTAATAATTTTTTTTTCTAAAGTGTGATCTATAAATAGCAAAAGTGTTTTTTTGGTTCTAGAGCCTTGTCAAGTTTGGCTTTTAGAGTCTTAACCTCTATTTACCAAATATGACAAGTATCACATCCAAAGTTTAACCATCTACTTTTTTCTTCGTCAATATCTACCTTTGTTACTTCCACCATGGATGCTTTGAGCGCCTCTAATTCCTTTCAGAATCAGAGATCTTTTTCTCCAAGTGAGTAAAAATTTGTTTGTTTGAGGCCAAACATTTAAAGGCTTCCTTAGCCTCATGGTGTAAGGTGTCAAAGGCATGTTGTAATTCAGAATGAGACAATTTACTAGAGTTTTCGTATTTAGCATGTCGTACCTTTTTATTCTTCTTCTTTTGATGAGCTAAGGGACAAAGGTTAACGGACTCTTCTTCGTCATTTGAACTATCATCCCCTGATGACTCACTATTGCTTTCCCAAGTGATATAAGCTCTTTTAGGCTTACCTTGTTTCTTTTGTGAGAGATTAATTTCCTTTCCTTTATCCTTCTTCATCAATTTACAATCTGGCTTATAGTGTCCGACTTTTCCACAATTAAAGCACGACCCTCTTGCTTTACTACCCTTATTGCCTTCATTCTTGGAAGACCTTGATTGTATTATAAAATTGACGAGATTATTTTTGGAATGTTAGATACCGTTCTTCTTTACATAACAATTGTATCATTTCACGAATAGCCCCATGTCCTCATTCGTTTCTTCATCATCGTCATCACTCGAGTCGTAATCACTTAGCGGAGGACTTTAAACAAGAAGCCTTTAAAGCTATTAACTTCTTTTCCGTAGTTTTGGTCTTTTATTTCCTTTCTTTTTTCTCAAATTGATCAAGGCTAATAAGCACTTTCTCATGTTCTTGGAGCTTTCCAAAAATTGTTGTAAGATCCAAAGTCATAAGATCATTTGCTTCCTTTATGGTCGTGACCTTTGGTTGTCACTCCCTGGTAAGACATCTTAAAACTTTGTTAGTAGCAATGTCATTGGAAATTGGTCTACCAAGTGAATTTAGTCTATTGTTTAAGTGAGAAAATCTCTTTTGCATGTCGGCAATGGTTTTCCCTTGCTCTATGTGAAAGAGATCAAAATCTTGAGTCAAAGTGTTGATTCGAGTTAGCTTGACGTCATTAGTTCCCTCATGGGCAACTTGCAATGCATCCCACATGGCTCTAGAAATCATACAATGTGAAACTCTATAATATTCATTAACTCCAAAGAGGAGATCATAATATTTTTAGCCTTCCAATTGTAGTTGTACTTTTTCCCATCTTCATTATTCCATTATGCTTCAGGCTTAGGCACAACAACGTTATTTTCATCGATCATGGTAATTTCCATTGGACCGTTCAATATAATGTTCCATATATTTTTATCAATGGAATAGATATGCACACGCATACAATCTTTCCAGTAACTATAGTTCTCACCGTTAAAAACTAGTGCTCTATTGTAAGCCCTTTTTGGTTCGTTTTTCATATTCTAAGAAGTTATATGTGAAGCACGGAATGAACTTGTGCTCTTGATAGCACTTGTTAGACGACGACAATGATCTAGAAGAGGGGTTGAATAGATCACTTATTCTTAAACAAAGTCGACGCTTATGATAAATTGGTTTTTAAAACTTTTAAGCGGAAGCGGCCGAGGAACTACGATCATCTAAACGAACCGTTACCAAAAAGATCGGATATACGCTACACCTATATGAAATACCGATAAAGATGAGAAATCGAATCAAAAGTTTAAACACAAATCAATATGATTTTGTTCGCTCAAAGTTGTTCAATTTCCAATGCTTTGTAAAAAATAAACTAAAATTGAAAAACAGCTCAAAACGTTTGTATTCAACCAATTAGTCGAACACGTGGTGTGTGAAGCACTCTAAGTAAAATTCACTATGTAAATGTAGTGCTAAGCTTTTCTAACTACAATCAAACGGATTGTAATGAGTTTTCTAAATGTATTTCAGCACTACAATAAACCATAACTTTAGTCAACCAATTTGATTGCATACAAGCGTAAAATTCACAAATGAAAATAGCAAAAAGAGAGAATAACACCAATTTGTTGAGGCAGTTTCCCCGTCATCCACGCTCGGGGTACATTTGCCCTCAATTCTAAAAATTGAATTCAGATTTGTATATAGAACCTGTTGCAAATTATTTTTACAAGAGAAGCAGTAGAAATCAAAC